AATGTATGTATGTATATATGTATGTAGAAAAGGTATACTTCTATAGTGAAACCTTTGAAACTTTTCTTTTTACTTGTATTGAAATGAGAGAGTAAGAAAGAGAGAAAGAGAAAGAGAGAGAGAGAGAGAGAAAGAGAGTGGAATAGTAAGCTGAATAAACAACGACAGGTAGAGTTGCTAACGGTACCAAATCTGCATACGCCAATTCGAGTTCTTCCTTAAGAGAAAGATCGAGAATAGTAGTGGATAAAGTATTCATACCTCTTTTAGTTTATTTCAAGATATTATCGGTTTATATTGATTTTGTTTTTTGTATATGTAATTGATAATATTTTTATGAAAATTGAACTACTTTAATTAATAATTTATTGAATATTATATATATATATATAATTATTAATATTGTATTAGATACTGATTAATATTTGCAATAGTGTACAACTGAATTACAATTATGAAATTTGTATTATTTCAGATAATAATTTATTGAATAATATGTATAATTAATAATATTATATTATATAGTAATAGTAATAGTATTAGATAGTAATTAATATTTGTAATAGTGTACAACTGAATTACAATTATGAAATTGGAATTAATTTAAATTATAATTTATGAAATAATATATATAATTACTAGGGGTGTCCCGTCACGCGTTGCTGTAGCTCACAATTAGTCCGATACACACGTCTATACCGCGATCTGTTAGAATCTTATCAAACTAACAGAGATAATCATGACTCTTTGTTAATAAACTGAAATAATTCGCAATAAATTGAGATATAAACAATCCTATCTTTCAAGTTGGATAAAACTGCATACAGTGTGCAAAATTTGATTAAAATCGGTTCAGTAGTTTAGGAGTCCATTGCGAACAAACAACGTGACACGTAATTTATATATATTAGAGGATTAATATTATGAAATTGTTTAATTTATAACAATGAAACAATGAATTATGATGAATTGAGTATATTATTTTCTACAGGACATATAACATCCTTTATCCTTAGTCTACGATTTGGAATTTTCTCGTTCGAAAGCCTAGTCACTGTTAGCAAAAAAAAAAAAAATTACTGCCAATGAATCATTCTTTCTCTTATCCAACCGGATCTGAACAAGCTCACCCGCATGCACTAAAGGACAAGTTTATCTCTTGTTTTAACGCGTCACATTCTCGTCATTACGTAATTCTATCGTAATCCTTAATACTTCAACCCTAATCTCAAATCTTTGATCATTAAAACGAAAAAGAAGACAAAGTAGTAGAAGAAAATATCAAATCAATGTAATAAACATTTGGAAATAATTATTTATCGTGATCTTATTTAAAATTAATTAGTCTAAATAGTTTAATTTAATTATTGTACAAAACATAATCTAACAAAAAAATAATTGTTTCATATAAGAAATTTTGAATTGAGTTATATAATATTTCATAGGTTTAATGTTTAATAGAAATTTTTTATTTAAAAATTAGGATTAATTATTTTACGAGTTGTTTTTTTTCTTTTAAATTGTTATATAATTTAATATATAATTTATAATTGATAGTATATAATTAAATGTGTGTTTAGAAATAAATGACAAAATACAATATATATTATATGATAATTAAATGCAAAAGCATTTTTTATCTTTAAATAAAATTACAGTTAATTTTAATAAAATTAAATATTTACTTAATCACTTTATAGTTTTAAAAATCAGTTTTTTTTTTTTTTTTATTAATTTTTTATACTAAAATTTTAATTTTAGTTTTACATGAATTTTTTTTTTTTTTTTTTATCCTTCACACCAAAATCAATTTTAAAATAGTAGTAGTGTAAAAATTATCCTTCAAACAAGCCAAAAAATAAATCAAAACTCTTACGAGATAAAAAAAAAATAGATAATTTTATTGAATAAATTTAAACAAATAAATAATTAAAATAATAACAATAATAATAATAATAATAATTCAAATATAAAATCGTGCCGATGTTCGAACATAGTTTTCTCTTGCGGAACTAAAAAGGCAATGGACAAGGGACTTCGAAAAGACGGGGGTGCAGAAGCAAAGATAAAAGAAGAAAAAATACAACAAATAAAGAAATATAAAAAAAAAAAAAAATAAAAAATAAAAATAAAAATATAAAAAAAGAAAGAAGATACGAAGGGAGTCCATTCGTTCGTTAGCCGTAGGGCGAAGGTTGGAATCCAGGCGTTTCACAGCAGGGTGCCGTTTCTCCTTGCGTACTGCAGGACTCGTATCCTCTCTCTCTCTCTCTCTCTCTCTCTCTCTCTTGCTTTTTATTTTTTATTTTTTTATTTTTTTTTCTCCTATCCGTCTTTCTAACTGTCCACCTTCCCCCACTCTCCCCTCTTTTAACCTCCTACCACCTCACTTGTACCCCACTCGTTCGCGTGCATGTGCATCTCTTCCTCTTCCTTCGATTCCTTCTTCTACTTCTTCTTCTTCTTCTTCTTCTTCTTATTTCACCCTTTTTGTTTTCTACTTCTCTTTCCATAAGTTTTTTTCTTATTTGAAAAAAGAAAAACAAAAGAATTTAACAATGTCTCGTTTGAATATTTTTTATATTTATTTATTTTTTTTTTTTTTTTTAATATGATGTTTGAGAATTGTTTTATCGTTTATATTTATGAATGATTTACTATGATGATTAGTTGTAGAATATTTGTAAAATATATTTGATAGAATAAATATATTGGAGATATAAAATTGTATTTGAAATTGTTGTATAAATTATTGTAAAATTTATTTTAGATAATTAAGTAACTTTGATAGATTGTTTTATTTTATATTATTAACATACACAAAGAATTTTAAGTAATTATAATTATATATTTTCATTATAATAAAACAGAATTAAATTATAATAATAATAATAATAATAATAATAATAATAATAATAATAATAATAATAATAATAATAATAATAATAATATATGTAGTTATATATTATAATATATTTTATAATTATTTATAATTATGTAGTATAATATATTTGATACTTTATTATATTAATTTAATTAAATTTAATATAATAAATTATATATATATATATATATATATATATATATATATATATATACAATTTTTATTATAAATAATCGTATCTTTCGTATTAGTTACGTGATATTTTTTTGTTAATTTTTTTTTTTTATTTAGAAAGTTTACCCTATCATTTATCATTTTTATCTAATTATCATTTCTATCAGAATAAATTTAGAATCAAAGTCATTTTATATATTATGATTGGCTAATAATATTCTTCTACTACTACTACTACTACTACTACTACTACTCTCGATAGTTTTCATAGATCGATTGGTTGAAAATCGTGACGAACCCTTTTATTAATTTCCGAAGATGTTTTCTCCAGTTGATTTGTATGTGACTGGTTATTATATTCGTTGCATTTTACCTTTAACGGTTATTGCAAGTGAAAGTAGAAACGTTGAAATCGCAAATAGATTCGTGGCAAACGGTACACAACAACAACAACAACAACAACAATAATAATAATAAAAAAAATAAAAGAAGAACTATAAAAAAAAAGGTTGGAAGTGATAATAGAAGATTCCTGTCCTTTATGGTAATTGCAAACAAAAAATCTAAACCCATTTTTAATTCTATGATTATCATAAAATTTTTAAACAAATCAATTTTTTTTCGTACTCTTTTCTTATGTTTCCCCTACTTCAGAATAAACTCATTAGAAAAATATGAGTAAATTTGTAAAACGAATAATAAATTGCAATATCAATTTTTTTAAATCAAAAATAAAATATATCATTTAAAATTGCACATGTCAAAACTTGCAACATTTATTTCAGTACAATCAATCTTTTTCATTGTGCATATAAAATGAGATAAGAGTAAAAAAAAACCCGAATTAATTTGCACACTTTTTATTTATCTTTCCTCAACATTCTCTCACCTAACCTCACTTATTCTCACTCTCTTTCTCTTTTTATCATTATATGATCATTAAGAGATATTATTTATTGGATCGTAACGTAGTTTATGGTAACAAGTAATAATTATTTTGAGTGAAAGTTACCAATCTTATTGATTACTTTTCCAATACATCATAAACATTCATAAAATCATGGAGAATAAAAAGGGGGAAATGAAATATATGATACAAGACTTTAGAAAAAATAATAATTGTTGAATATTTTTCATCGTTATTAATTTTTTCAACTTATTCTACTTCTCTTCCTTTCCTCTGTTACGTTTTTTTATTAACAATGAGACCTATGGTGGGTGTACACACCATCATTACTATTACCACCACCACCAGCAAGGAACGAACGAACGGTCTCGTTGACTCTTATCCATGGGGGTTATTTGTCGTTGTACAATATTTGCACACACATACATAGACACACATACTCGAAGAAGACATGTCTTCTTCGCTTGAGTCAACCAGGTGTCGGTTTTCCTGTTTGCAATAAGGCACTTTCATTTAAATGTCGCGTACAAAGTATGACTAGGTGATTTATTTTTACAATTACACGTATAACGATTTATTTTGTCTTATTAATCATTATAATTATTATGATCAATTGATTATAATATTAATTGAATAATAATAGCATTATTAAATATTATACAAATATATTTTCAATTAAACACGCGCGATTATCTAATAAATATTCGAAATAAATATAAATACATTTTACATTTGATAGTATAATTAACTTGACGAATTTGTACTAATATTTTGGTACACCCAGTATAATAAAAAAAAATACTAACCCTTATTTATATCTAACATACTCTTATAAGCAAATTATCACATGGATGCTACCTAAATTCAGCGCTCCCAAACATAAATTATTAGATAGGTGCCGTATATATCCGGCAGCAATACGAAAAAACATGGTTTAAAGATAAGAATGAAAATAAATTATTTACAAACTAATATATGTATACATATAAACACATAATATATGTCAATAACTTAGAAAAATTTGTATATTTTCAGCTGTACAGAGGGGTCGCGTGCCAGCATCGCAACCAACGTTGCCAGGATTACCAGGACAATTTTCAATGACGAACGGTGATGCGATATCGTGCGCGGGTATAAACGGGTCCTACCTATCGTCATATATCGGAATGTTGTTACGTGCCGAACCGTATCCGACAACAACGAGATACGGGCCGTGCGGTCAAGCAAGCAGTAACATCATGGGAATCGATAGTATATGCGAATTGGCAGCTAGGCTTTTATTTTCCGCAGTAGAATGGGCAAGAAATATACCATTTTTCCCGGAACTACAGGTGACCGATCAGGTTGCATTGTTGAGGCTAGTATGGAGCGAGCTTTTTGTACTTAATGCGAGCCAATGTTCTATGCCACTTAGTGTGGCACCATTATTGGCAGCTGCTGGTTTACACGCGTCACCAATGGCTGCCGATCGGGTGGTAGCTTTCATGGATCACATTAGAATCTTTCAAGAACAAGTTGAAAAACTCAAGGCCCTGCACGTTGACACAGCCGAATACAGTTGTCTCAAGGCTATCGTTTTATTCACGACAGGTAAGATTTAATACCTTTTATTATCTTTTAGGATTTACTTGCTTTTTTTACTAGGTACAAAAATGTATATTGCATAGTATCTACTTTTATGGTTTTAATTTGATAATAGACAACATGGGTACCTGATGATAATACCTTTTGCTAAAACCCAATAACAAAATTTAAATACCTGATTACCCTAATTACTATATTTTATCATACTTAAAATCCCATCTAAATATTTTCAATTATCATAAAAGCAAAAGATTGTTTACATTATCTGTTTTATTTTTTTTTGTATTAGACACACATTTTTTATGAGCAACTTTTATGAATCTAAGGGCTGAAAAAAGAATATATAGTTTATGTTTGGAAAATATATATGGGTGGGTATTAAATTTATCATATAAATGAAGGTATAGGGTATATTCAATATCGAAGTAAAATAAGAGAGTCCTAAGTATAGGTGAATCTCTTGAAGACTTCCTATCTGACATTCTCGAAAAGCACGTTTAGAAATACCGTTCGCGGAAGGTCGGTTGGTTGGTGTGCGAACGTTATCTCGATGGGTTTGCTAACTCACCAAAGGTAGTCTGGATAGAGAATAGAAGGTTAGACAGCATTCGATATTGACTGGGGGCTTTACTTGGTAATACTACACACGATGTAACAGTAGATACCCAATTGTTCCTATTTCTCATGTCCAGGTCAAACGCCATACTCTCTTTTTCACTTTTTGCAAACAATTTTTCAAAATTAATTATACTAAAATTGTTAACTAACTACTTATCGTATAATTTGTTATTACTTTCTAACAATTTTACAAATTTATTGAATACTTCAATCTCACATTGAAGTTGCATTAACTCGTGTTCCAATATTTAGGCTAGTTATAAAAATATCTAGGATTTTTATAAGGTAAGATGAATCCCTAGATATCTGAATTTTTCTAACAATAGAAAAATATTAGTAACATTTGTTAATTTTTATTTAACAATTACAATTGTATCAATCAATATATGGTACAATAGTTTAGGGGATTCCTGAAAAAGTCCAATAACGTAATTAAACAATATCAACTAAATAATATTCATTTGCAACAAAATAAATTGATAATCCTTTATTAAACACACCCTAAACACTTAAATCTTTGATCAAACTATCAAAAAGAATCTATTACATTATTTAATATGATTAAAATGATCAACACGAAAGAGCTGACCTACCTAAAAAAAAAAAACAAAGTATCATATTTTTCCTTTGAACCAATCGATCGAGGTTTAAAACCGGAAGAAGTTCGTAGCTAGAATGTCTCTCAACGTCTAACTCGTCTAATCGACGAGTAGATAAGATCACGGTAACTGTCATCCAACTTGAACCAACTAACGGAGTGGTTGTAGGTATGATCGTCATCGAACAGAAACGTGCGAGACAATACGTTTCTCATCGTTCCTATCTCCAACAATTCTCTCTCTGTTTCTCTCAGTTAGTGTTTCTGTTTCTCTCTTCAATCTGTAGAATCTATCTCGGTTCAGCTTTAGAGAGATGGTCAACTCTACTATAATTCCTATCTCTCTCTTTCTCTCACATTCTGTTCGTTTTCGATGACAAGCACAGGGTCTGTTCAAAGAGTCCGAGTATACTCCGCTAACTATCTCCTAACCCATCTTTCTCTTCCCTAGCTAAACGAGTTAACCATCCAACCAAACCACCACCATCAACCATATCATACCTTTTGTCTCTTTTATATAATCGAAAAATTAAATAACAATTTTTCTTACAATTTTTACATTAAAATTGTACATACAACAAAATAAAAGTCATACAGGTATATGTAAAAAATATACTAATTGTTTTTAATATGATACGTTAATTAAATTTTTTTATTATTATATAATAATTAATAATATTATAAGAAAAATCTATAAAGCAATTATCTAATTATATATTAAACTTAAATAGTAAAACAATAAACGTTTCAAATTTGGCGCCAATCAATCGATCAATCTACCATAGATGGCGTGTTTTAACTAGGGATATATCTAGTGAATAATAAGCATACGCTAGAGTTTTCCGATGCAGTATGTAAAATGTGATTCCCCTTTCAAAGTTACATCCACAAGAATCGTTCGTAAAATACTTGATTTCAACACAATCATAGTGTTTTATTTACGAGATACGCAGAAGTCTTTTAACAATATACAATATTTAAAAACAAATAATGAATATTAATAATAATTATTGAACACCGACAAATGTTTATATATATATATCTGGTTTTTCGAATGTCAGAGAGAAAGATATGATGTGGGTTGAATTGGAAAAAAATAACTTTCTTTTTTTTTTGGTTGTAAAGTAGAAAGAAGGAAAAAGAACAAAATATAAGTAAAGAAGGAGAATGAAAGAGAGAGAGAGAAAAGGGCACCGTACTAAACCTCTTACGTCTGCCCATAGATAGAAGATGGTAGGCTATTTATTTCTGTGCTATATGGGCACGCTTAGTTCGTTTTAGCTTATGCTAATGCCCCGATTCCCTGCGATCCACCTTCCGCCTTTTTTTCTACCAACCTTTTTTCTTTTCCTTTTTTTTTCAACCCTCTTCTTATTCTTATTCCTTCTTCTTCTTCTTCTTCATCTCCTTTCTTTCTGTCTTCTATGCAACTCGCCAATTCTTTCTACCTTTCTCTTTCTCTTTTTTGATTGTTTTTTTTTTCTTTTCCTTAACTCTTTTTCGAGACCCCCGATTCTTCTTACAGAACGACGAAAGATCTTCCGTTTTTTCGTATCCCACCACCAATACTAGTTCTTAACATTCCTATGGTGATCTCTTCTAACTTTCCATTTGTACAAACCCCCCAAAACATTTTTTTTTTTAAATCATTCTTTTTGTTTATTCAGTTGCCAGAAATATTCGAGTTGATTTGTAAAAATGTGCTGAGGAAAAGAGTTGAAGTTTAGAAACACTTTGATCAAAATCATTTTTGTACCCAAACTTTTGATCAAACCAATAACAGGACACTTATTTTATTTATCTTATTGACAAAATGAAATAGAAGGGCATCATAATTGGTGTACCAAGTATCATCAGAAAAGGGTTGAAGTGCAAACACATTTGATCAAACCAATAATGGGACACTTACTTAATTTGTCCCATTTACAAACCTAAGTAGAAAGGCATCATACTTGGTGTACCAATTGTCAAAAATCAACATACCACCTAATTTAAAAATCCCCAAAACTGAGGCTGAGGTTTAAACCATATGAGACCAATTTTATTTGTCCCACTGAAGATACTAAACAGAAACCTACAGGTTCACTTCACCAAGTATCATCAGAAAAGGGTTGAATTGCAAAACACATTTGATCAAACCAATAACAGGACACATTTTATTTGTCCCACTGACAAACTGAAGTAGAGGGGCATCATACTTGGTGTACCAATTGTCAAAAATCAACAGACTACCTGAATTACAAATCCCCAAAACTAAGGCTGAGGTTTAAACCATATGAGACCAATTTTATTTGTCCCAGTGACTGAATACTAAACAGAATCCTTCAGGTTCACTTCATCAAGTATTGCAAAGCATCAGATTATTTGATTAAGAAACCCCCTCTCACCTTCTTCTGAAAATATTTTAATCGACCCAAACTTTCTAATTCAATTCAATAATTAAATTCTTGAATAATTGATTGAACAAAAATCTAAACAAATTGCATTCATTATAATAATCACTTTTAATCGTGATCACATTAAAGATCTTTTATCATCTAACCGAGATAATTTGTTCTTCTTCTAAAGAATAAGATAAACGAGAATGAGAAAGAAATGAAACACGATCACGAATAAGAGTGAAAATCTTGGATGGTATGATGAGAAATAAAAAAAGAAAATAAAAATTAAAAAAGATAGATTAAGAGAGAGAGAGAGAGAGAGAGAGAGAGAGAGAGTGAGTGAGTGAGTGAGAGTGAAAGAAATAAAATCTCACGGATGCCTGAGGGCTCATATTCTTAATTAGATCGTTAATACCTGGTGCCATCCATACAGAACGCGAACTGGAGAGTTGTTGGAAGTAAGAAAAAAGAAAAAAGATAGAAAATGAAACACAAAATGAGAGAGAGAGAGAGAGAGAGAGAGATAGAAATAAATAAAGAAAGAAAGAAAGAAAACGATGTTGGGTGCTCGCCGGTTGTGTGTTGGGGCAAGGCAAAAGGGAATTGCATTGCATGCCACATAATCGTGGGAGTGTTTCCCATCAAGATACACGTAGGTACCGCACTCTCCGTAATACCCTCTCGCATAAATATATCTGCCACGATGCATTTACATGCACCTATACGGGGTGATGCAAAATAATCTAACACTAGATGATATCCTAACTTTCACCCTATTTATTTTTCATTTATTATAATCAATTTTCATTTTATATTATTCTCGTGACAACGAATTACAAAATAAAATTGTCAAATAATTTGATAATACATAGAAACATAATTTGGTCCAATTCAAGTTACCCTAATTGGGGTGTACATTTTGTCATTTACAAATAACAAATTTAAGAATCTTTGTTTGAATTGAATTTAAAAAAAGGGACAATAATATTCAATTAAAATTAATATAAAATTATCCGATGAATATTTGATCTAATTGAGTTAACCTAAAAAAAAGGGATAGAATTTTGTTTTGTATTTTTTTCAATGACTCGTTTCTTAAATTCATAAATTGGTTCTGGTATTAAAGTAGTTTTAGAAAAATACGTTGAAATGATTTAAAGATTTGATTATACTAATAAATGTTGGAATATTTAGTTGCTTGGGTCACCGGGTGTACATGAACACAACTAGCATGAACAGGAGAAAGCTGAAGCACCTTCGGAACCAGCCGATTTAGCGAACGCTAAACGTACTTTATGCACCGTGCCCTCGTTCCACCATTTTATCCGAACAATTAGACACGTGATCCGTAGTTACGGAGCCAGATGGATGAAAGAACAAAAAAAAAATCCCTATGCTATCCTCCAACA